TAGCCCTATGCTTGACTGCTGGTCTGCTCAGAGTCAATCCTTCAGATGGACACATGTGGCCAAACCCTTCCAGGAATGGCGCGCACCACTGGAGGTTTCTGAGAGTTTGGCATTGTTCTTGTCCAAGATGTTGAAGGCTTCCTTGACCACGGCGTCGGTCAGGCATGATTTCCTGCAGCTTGCGCTTGGCTTCCTAACTCTTGATGCTCCGCTCAAAGCTCTCTCAGGATTCAGGGATGCGCTGCACGCTTCAGTCAAACAGTACTGGCAGGGGATATACAGGACAATGCGACAGAGCAACTGCCACAGCCCCCCTTCAATCAGGAGAGCCCACGTAGCGCAGGCGTCTCCCCCATCTCTCTCATTTGGACAAAAGAATCTATGCCAGCAGTGCTCGGCTGAGGTGGGTTCATGGCATAAGCGTCTGCACGGGTAGGTAAAAATAAACCAAATTCAGTCATTGAAAGATAAAATGTTTTGCGGACCCTGCACGCATCTGCACACGTTCAGAAATTTCAGGCGGAGACTTGGAAGCCTCCGAAGGGCAGCTAGAGGGCAAGCCTACGACTCAGTTCCCTGAAAACAGCATGCTGCACCTGTTGAACGTTGCTGCCAAGAACTCGGTGTAGGAGAAATCCTTCAAGCTGCAGGCTTAATGAATTACACCTAATAATGAACGGGGGCGGTTCTGGAATTTTCAATTCACTATATATTTGGTTAACCAAAGGAATAGTCAGTCTGAATTGATTAGATATTCATTTATGAAATAATGTGATTAACTAACAGATTTGATTCACTTAGAGACAGCCCTGTGTAACTCCTTCAATAAATCATCTCCCCTAATACCAAACATTTTTTCGGGCCTGTGTTTTTTCATGTTGGGGGGAGCACATCGTCCAATATTAGGGAGAAGTTATTACGCGTATGCGTGTACGTCCTTTCATTCTGTTGTGAAGCAACTAGCAACTGCAACACGCCATCTCTTTTTGCAGCGTAAAGCTCGAACATGACACCTGCTCCCAAGATGCTCAGTGATCCACCTTGCCCTGTACAACAGCCCTTACGGCACACCGCTTATAAATCGCGCCTTTAAGGATCCTGCCAAGCTGGAGTCAAAGTCCCTGAAGATTCCTCGGAGCTTAGGGGTGCTTGCGGTCACCCAATCACAAGTTCACCCGCGCAGCACCCAGGCCATCTCCTGTACCCTCACAAGCCCGCGGCAAGACTGGACGACTGACACGGGTGAAGGTCATAGGAATTTGGTTTCGGGCTTGCGCAAGTGGATATTTCCACTTGCCTGCTTGACCACTGGAAAACACAACAAATCTGGATAGATCATTCAGCAGTCCGGATCTCTGTACTAGGGTGATCAAGTAGAAGATAGTAGAAGTTGTCCGTACGCATGAGTTTGGACTTTGATGGGGCACATGTGCTTCGTGAGGGGAGCAAACAAGCCCAGGGCCCGCAACCCCCTTAAACTCCAGCAGCATAAAAACTGATGACAGGACTGGCGGCTCCCTCTAGAACAATGACTACTGTACCAGCCCAGCGGCTCTCCACTTCGCGGCGCGTCACGTCCTCTTGGCAGGCTGGTCTGTATCTCAAATGCATCTAGCATGTGGCGTTTCCAGAATTTAACTCACATGCAAGTACCTGTATTCGTCTTCTGGATTCTGGATGCACATTAGCCGCCAAGCCGTACAAGCATGTGCGTTGCTCATCAAGCTGAAATGTCTGATCTTGCGTTGGAAGACGTGCGGACAGAGTTCGGCCCGCTTTGCAAATGTGCTGTTTGCCTACCTTTTCAAGTGCCACTTGCAGCGAATGGTCATAGGCTGCTTTGTGCACCCTACTCTGCTGCCAAATCAACAGGTTTTTGCGGCACGCTGTTTGGGGCAAAATCAGGCCGCCGGGGGTACCACTTGAGAGACTCAGTCATCAGCAAATGCTGGCTTTCCTCAAGAACGCCTCGGGGGACTCTGTCAGCTGAACATCTCGTCTTCAGCACCCTTGCTGCTCAATTCTGTGCAAAGACGATCCCGCATTTCTGTGGTTGTGTCCTAAACACACAAACACTTGCAACTGGCTGGGTCCTTCTCCAAGATGCCTTGCTCCCGCCTTTGCTGCAGGGCAAGATACGACCAAGAAAATGTTCCTCTGGACTCCAACATGTTGCTCATAGGAGGATTTCTGTAGCCAGACATTGATTGCAGTCCTTAGGCAAACATATTCTTGACAAGCTGCTGTTTTCTCAGCCGTCTCTCCACCTGAGGTAGCGAAGTGTCATCAGGCAGATCCCAGCCGTTCCGTTGCTTTCAAGCACCCCTCGAGTTGAATGGTCCCAGGCGAGCTGTTGGCGTGACTTGCTGTTGTCAGAAGGGAGCAGGGGATAATATCATACAAGGGTTCTATATAAATGAATATGAATTAATATGAATTATATTCCCTTATTCAGTACTATCCCCCATTATGGTGAGTAGCAGCAAGTTCTGTGTGCATCTTGCAGGGTGCCTCTGCCACTGAGAGGAGACCGTCACCGTCGCAGTCCATCGAGATCTCAGGAGTTTTCTCCGCAAAATGCATTCTACGTGGGGCTTCTCAAACTTCAGCACCCTAAAACAGATAGGGGTATGTAGGGGTTCCAAACCATATGGGTAGGGATCACATAAAGGACGCTTCAGGAAACTCCTGCTCTGGTCCAAGCATGACCAGGCGGCCCAAGGCAGGTGGCTGCCGACAGGTTCAAGTTCGATGCAGGTGCAATGAAATGCACTACTGACACTACTGTAGTAATTGCGAAGACTGCCTTGCCAAAAGCACCTTTGGACCAGAAGTTCAGCAAAGACGGCGGGCTCAGTTCATCGCAAACATTTCGCGAGAGGCTTGTACGTGCTCCTGCACACGTTTCAAGTAAGGAGGTGGACTGCGGCATGAAGGCAGGGGATTGCACAATTACTGTAGCAAGGAACTCGTAGTCTGACTCCACCACCTCAACCACCAAGACGTTACTTGGTGCATGCATCTGCATGCTGCATGCACATCAAGCTGTAGAAGTTGCATGCGCCGTTGCAATTCTGAAACGGCCAACGAACTGAGCAAAGAGAGACCAAAAAGAATTGGCAAGCCCTCACCCTCCGACTCCGTCTATTGTTGTTCCTGCTCTTCAATCCTTTCTCCCAGTGCATCAAGGAAGCAAACAGATCGAGATGCATGAAGCCATGTTACCGGGCATCCTCGGAGAGCAAGCTGGCAACTGTTGTCAAGGCGGCTCGCCTGCCCAGGGCGAGTGTATGCCAACGGAGCTCACCTTGAACAGTTCCTGTTCTGAAAGCTCCTGGGCCACGAAAAACATGAAGGTAAATTCAAAGCAAAGCCGGACTGGCTTCAACTTGTTCTGGCCACGGAAGTTGCGCAAGTCATCGAGGATACCAAAGCCTCAGACAGGTTAAGCACAGCTACTTCAAAGTTCCAAGACTTTCGAGCCAGATAACATGGTAGCTCGACAATGACTCCCGACTCCCTACAGGTGATGTGCTTTGACTGACATCGCAGCCCTGGGTGCAGGAATAAGATAGCCACACTGAGTCATAGATTGCAAATGAAATGAACAGCTTGTGGGACGAACCATCCAAATTTCCAGGCCACTGACGCAAGGTTGGCATCTCAGGCTTCGGGAGATGCTTTGCAAAGAAAGGGTCCTTCCAGTGCTCAAGTTGACCAACTTAGACAAGCATCTCAATTCAGCAATTTGCATATGAATCCTATGTTGATGAATCTGTTGCAAGAAGCTCATCGAAAAGTGGCCGACGCTGAAACGATCCGACTCGCCTGCAAAGCCTGCTGTGCTTGTGGACGGTGGGCCGGCTTTGAGAGGAGCTTTCTGATGAGGAGAACTGCCTCCTGTGCCAGTGCATTGACAGCATGCTGCCAACAATGAAACCAGAATCCCTATGCATTCGCTCGGCGCTGTGATGGTCCCCGTACTTTCTCAAACACCGTGAGTCACTCCCAAGCAACGTCCTGCGAGGCGTCGCACCACTGCTTGCCCAGAGGGACCCGCCCCGATTTGATCTGCAGAACAATCAGGGTGATGGATCACAGATGCGCGTAGGCATCTGCAGGGACTGAGAGAAATGCTTTGAAGCTGAAGTAAAACAACCGCCTACAGCAGCTGACTGCAATGCTGGGATGATGAATCTGATCGAGTCAGCCCTGGGCTCTGAATATCGCATATTCAAGCTTGCATGAGCTCAGTTCTACAAAGACCTACTAAAAGCCCATGGCCCACTGTGAAGGTGAGGCCAGGGCCTCAGATTCAGTCCCCCATGGCAAGGTTCCGCTCATCAAGTTGTACCTAGCAAGCGCGTGGCTCTCGAGCAGCCTTCTATCCAAGAAGTCAGTTCGCGCCAAGAGCAGCGGGTCGAAGCGCACAGAATCACGCCGCACGCCCACACGTCACAGGAGTTCGTGTACCTGGCTTCAAAGAAAGGCAGTGGATTGCAATGCTGCCTTTTTTGCTAGATTTTGCGAGAACCTGCTTTCACGAGCAAGCACCTCCGTCCTACAGGCCCAGACAAGTGACTCTGAACAGAATGGCATGGGTAAATACTTATGGACAATGGCTCTCATTGCATCTTTTTTCCCCTGCAGGACCGCAATGAAGGCACGTTCTTTGGCCAAGCTACGGAATAGCAGAGCACGTTGCCAAGGCATGAAGGGTAATCAAGCGGTTGATGCCTAATTGTAGGTTGTACAGAGTAGATGTAGAATGTAGAATGATCTAGATGTTCACTGCTCGGCCCTATTGCAAAGTCTAGACTCCAGTGAAGATAGAAATGCAACAGCCTGGTCAAGTTGTTGTAGTGCCGACGACTTGAAGTCCATGTCTTTCCAACTCAGAAAAATCTACCAGTAGCATGTTTGCACAGCTTAAACGCAAGGGATTTGTGGTGTATGCTTGTCCCGAAAGGGATGCTCCGGGTGTCCTGCGCGTGTCAGCCCTAGCCGAAGGGGTCGTAGCCTCAATGGCACCGACATGGGCACAGACAGCTCCAAGACACGTCTCATTTATGCTGCCGCGAGGCTCTCGTTACGTGCAGCAGGGGGCCCTGCAAAGAGCTTAGGCTTATGCAAGACATAAGCCGCCCCGAGGAAACATCGAGATGGATCTGACATTTGGGAGATTGCAGGATGTTCCGGGAGGGCCTTGCTGAATGTGCAGAAAGAACTGTGACGAAACCCCGTTGCCTGCATCATCGAAGCGCGGAGGGGGAACCTGCCAGGTATCAATGCATGATAATGCATGGTACATTGACCACACCTCTTCCAGCGGTGACGCTTAAAACGGAGACGAGAATCTCGGAACGATAAGGCACCGCTCAGAAAGCCGTCGCTGCCAAGCCCGCCCACAACATTTGATTAGCCGCCTGGCTACTATGTTTTGTCTCTTCTGCGCCGAGTGAACAATGACACACAGCGCCCCCCGTTACGGTGGATCTCTTCTCTGCTGGGAGTAGCCTGGGAGATTCATGGAGATCCTGTCACTGCCTTGGTCTCCACTTTCCCGTCGCCCACTTGCCGGCTTTGTGCGGCAGGGCTTTTGACTGGCTCAATGGCCGTACCACTCGGACAAATGCCTGGTAGGAGGGCGTGCGACGGGACATCAAGCTGAAGCTGCTTCGAGACCTGCTAAATTCTGAACGACCTTGCGGGTGGGGGTAGGGGGGGCTATGGGGGTTAGGAGGGGGTGGGGGAGGAGGTCTCGCACGCGGGGCTCCAGCTGCGGTGCAGGTGAACACGTTGTCGGCTTCAGGTGTGGCTCACGTGCAGCTGGCAATTCATTAGCAGTGTTTTCGACTACCTTTGCGACGACTACCTTTGCCGAGACGGTCTCGCGTTAGCGATAAAATTACCCTGCAGCAGAACGGGGTGCGCGGCGCCCTGCGCGCATCCCAACCTATCCTGAACATGCTCATTTGAACGTGCGGGCATATGAGAAGGCCATGCGGATGCTTCTAATTTAGGTGAAACTTCACTGATGTTTGGCGTGCGCATTGTTTTGTTGTCAGGAGGTTTCCTCAGTATTGCATGAAGTAAGGACTAAGGTGACAAAGAAAGCATCCATTCGAACCACTGCTTCGAAAGCCGCAGCCTCGTTAAAGGGCGCCAAGGTCGGCTTCTCCGGCGAAGCATCTGGAGATGTCGCAGGCTGATCACAACTTGCAAGCATTCCAAGATCATCCAGCTGTGCTCATATGAGCTTATACGACCTATATCATTCCGTTCGGGCCGTTCGGGGTCATCCAGATTTGAAGGGAGACTGTTGGTCTGTCATCGTTTTGGAGGGTCAGCCAGATAACATCGCTTTCAAGTCTGAAAGCAGCCACAGCCGGCTTGCTGCACGGTGCTGCTGACAGCGGCAACAGAGTCTAGATCGAAACCAATTTCTACAGTACACGAGTATCAGGTCTACCTACTCCATGGGATCCAGGTGGCTCAGGTTCGGCGGAGACGCGCTGCGGACATCTGCGGCTGCAGCAGGTGCTGGCGCGAACACCTAGTACGGGCAGTTGTCCTTGCCCCACTCTGCGGCAGACTTGAAGTGATGTCTTGGGGCAGTGCTAAAACCTCTTCTGTTCCCAAGTCGCATGTGTCCAGGCAGAACGAAGAGCTTTGCTCCACTACTCCATTATGGATATGGTGCAGTTTGCAACAGCTGCCTCGCCTGTGGTGGGGGTGCTGCTTGATCCTGCCAATGCTCCATGCCAGGAAATTCCACTGGTGGACAAATCGTACTTCAAAAGGCACTTGCACTCTCCTGCGGCGTGGCGCGCTTGACATCCACCCACTTGCCGTCAATAGCCTGGGTTGGCAAAAACGGGTGCATGATACACGTGTATCTTTACCTTACGTCATCTTCCGACGCGCGACCACTGCAGATTGTTGTGCGAAAAATGGGTGCCCTGCGTGCTTTCCGTAGTCACGGATTGCTGCCTGACAGTGGAGGACAGTCATTTGGCTTCTGTGAGCATTTTGTGTCTTTGACCTCAACGCAGGAGATGTGCTCAAAGACCACGAAGCCAAAACCACGGGGCTTGCCCGTAGCCTTATCGGCCATGACCTCATCTGCTTCAAGGGCAGCTCAACGGCCAGGCCCCCCAGGCTATGGTTTCGCGGTTTCCCAGCTAAGGCAGCGGCCACGGCATCTGTTATCCGCCCATATCTGCCTGGGTTCAGTGGCTATCGCGGCTATCACCGATCTGATGTTTTCCAACAGTCATGCATGAATATGTGCTTTGTCAGACAGTGTGTAGGGGCACATGCTTCTATTTGGGCGCACCCCTTCTTTTCTGGCGCATCAATTGCACAACAGCAAAAGACCTTGCTCAACCATTGTCTACTACTGCATAGTACCAGAGGCCGATTGAAGTCCTACTGGTTTTGCTGGCGCCAATTTTCGGACGACAGAGGAGTGCTTAGCAAGCGAAGCCGTATCACCAATTGGACTCCGCTGGCTCATTTTCCGAGTTCTTGATCTGGCTGCTGGGCCAAACAATTGAATTAAGTATGTCAAGATGCTGAAGTGAGCAGTGAGCATGTCCAGCGTGCAGTGGTGCGGAAGACCACCGACGAAAATCTTCTCACGATCCTGGGCAATCTGCGCTAAGCGGCGCAAGGCCCTAGTCACCCAAGCTGATGATCTAGCAAACTGCAAACGCCCAGGCCAGGCATGTTGTTGCTTGCAACCCGCGAGAGACAGCTCTTCGCAACTTCTGACCATGCCAGCCGGAAGAGAGATTGAAGAAAGCGTCTGATGAGCCTTTCGGCAGGCCTGGGAGACATGGGCGGGGCTGCCATGAAAAATGCACAAAGTAGGGATGTGCCCAAAAGCAGCAAAGCATGCAGAGTCTCTCACTGTTTGATGCCACGCTACCTGGCCCAAGCTGCGGCAGTGCGGCAGCTGCGGGCGCAGCAACGAAGGGCTGCGCAAAGCAAGGTATGGCCAACCTGCTCAGGCGCGAACACCAGGAGCTTATGTGGGCTTAGGAGTTGGTAAGATCGCTCTGGTACTTTGCGCTTGTCTCTCTCCAATTTGTCTGGACTAAACTCGGGTCTGCGTCGTTCGCGCCCCACGAAACTTCTCTTTTCTTGTTCAATCAAGCAGGCTGAGGCCGCGGCGCTATCATTTCCTGCACTGATCGCGGAGGAACAGCATCCTGCCGCACATCCCATGCATGGCTACTGGCATTGAAGGCATCTAGGAGTTCTGAAAACTGGCGGCCCATGGAAGCATTCAGTTGATTTCATGCCCGCTAAGACAGGAATCAAGATCTCCAACCCTTCAGAGAAGCCCGCCTGCCACTGGGGCAACACAAAGACGCCCAAGGCGGACAGGCCGACGATCCCTTGCGGGATGCTGTGACGTCCACGCACTCATGATGCCATGTGCAGCTACTGCCTCCTTGGCAAGCCTTCTAAGCTAATTAGCTGCTAACTGGCAGCTTCGCGCATTTAATATGGCTCTATGTGGGGACGTCCCCTGTGCAAGGATAGGAGCCCGCCTTCACCCACGATCAATAACAGCTCCGCTGCAGGGACAAAGCACCATCCTTGGAAGAACTGGCGGAACCCAAGGACAGGGGTAGACTTCGGTTTCGGGGAAGTCTTGGGTTGATAATGGGTGGTAAGTCAAATGCTTGCTAACCATAACTACACTCATCCGAATGTATCCAACCCTCCCAACATGTTGAAAGCCCATGAAAGCACGATCGACCTCCCTTACAGCGACCCATCTAAAAATCTGACCATTTCTCATACCTCAGCCCCGCAGGAGCCCAGTGTCGAGGGGTCTCGCTTGCTGGCTCCTGTCCGGGTGGATGCAGGCCAAGTATTCAAAGCAAGCCGTATACAGTATGGGGGGGTAAAGTGGGGCAAGTGCTTTGCATCCCTGAGCCATATCCTACAGTGGGGTGCGACCAGTCACAGCCCCCGTATCAGTTGAGGTGATCAACGCAACGTTTCTGTGAGGGACTCAGGGGGCGCAAGCTGTCCTGGAAAAGGCTCAAAGCCTCTTGGACCTGAGCTGGCGACTACTGGCAACCAAGCGAGGAGCCCTCCCAGCTTCTGGACCGATGATCCAAAAAACTAACAAGACACGCCTCACGACCTACTCTGAAAAAACTCTGGACCTCTACCATTATCTTCCTAGTCCCATCCGCAAGGCCCAGTAGCCGTGCGATCACCAGTGCGCGCTGCATGCTCAGCGACCTGCGATTCTAGGGCTGCAGACTGCAGAAGGCTGCGAAGATGCTCTACCAGTGACAAGCGGAGAATGCACAAGGCTAAGTTGGCATGACCGACGTCTGTGCTCGAAAGAGGTGTTGCAGCAAGAAGCTTGGACGGTCAGTCAGGACATCTCGAGAGCAAAACTGATGGTACAAGGACTAGGAGCGGCTGGCACGTGAACGTGAACATCCGAAGGGATTTTTGAAATAGCTGTTGAGTTTGGCTCCGGTCACACCTCAGTCCACATGGCAGCGCACAAGGCTGACACACGATGGTCGCCCCAGGGCGTTGGGCCCGAGGGGCCGCGTGGAAGGAACCTGCGCGAAGAAGGCTTTCACCAGCAGTAAAAGAACATGGGTTGGGCCTCCTGGGCACAGAAATGGAAAACACATGTTGGCCCTTGCTTTGTAGCTGCTGTCGCGAAAAACAAACTAATTATTTACTTCGAGCATCCCCACCCTAAAGCCGTTATTGCACAAGAAATGTAACGTTTCCTTGCCCCCCCTCAACTGTCTTCCTTGCAGCACTGCAACTGCGTTGCAAGA